TCTTCCCCTCTCCTCCCATCCCCTCCCCTCCCCTCCCTTCCCTTCCCCTCCCTTCCCCTCCTCCCCCTCACGTTGTGTGGCCCCCCTACGGAGCTCCACCGAAGACCCCAGTGGCTGCGTTCGCATGCGCCCTCCCCGCCCACCGCAAGCCATTTTCGGCACACCACGCACACGCTTCGTGGCCTCATAGGGAGCTCCACCGAAGGCCCCAGTGGCGGTGTTCGCATGCGTTTCTCTAACCACGTACAACGCGTCGTGGCCCCATAGGGAGCTCCACCGAAGCCCCAGCCAGTACAACGCTCCGTGGCCCCATAGGGAGCTTCACCGAAGGCCCTGGTGGGGGTATCCGCATGGGTTTCCCCACTCAGTACAACGCTTCGTGGCCCCACAGGAAGCTCCACCGAAGGCCCCAGTGGCGGTGTCCGCATGCGTTCCCCCCACCCAGTACAGCGTTTCGTGGCCACACAGGGAGCTCCACCGAAGGCCCCAGCGGCGGTGTCCGCATTGTTTTCCCTCACCCAGTACAACGGTTCGTGGCCCCACAGGGAGCTCCACCGAAGGCCCCTGCGGCGGTGTCCGCTTGCGTTTCCCCCACCCAGCACAGCACTTCGTGGCCCCATAGGGGGCTCCACCGAAGGCTTCAGTGGCGGTGTTCGCATGCGTCTCCACCACCCAGTACAACGCTTCGTGCCCCCATGCTCCACCGAAGGCCTCAGCAGCGTTGTTCGCATGCACCTCCCCCACCAAGTACAACGCTTCGTGGCCCCATAGCGAGCTCCACCGAAGGCCCCAGTGGCGGTGTTCGGATGCGTCTCCCCCACTCAGTACAGCGCTCCGTGGCCCCATAGGGAGCTCCTTCAAAGTCTCTTTACGGCGACGTTTTCATGGCGGCCGCGCTCAATTTCGGCACACTCCTCACACATTTCGTGGCCCATATGGACCAACACCGAAGGCCCCTATGGCTGCGCCCGCGTGCGTCCCCGCCCCATTTCGGCACACACCCTTTACACGCTTCGTGGCCTCGTAAAGAGATCCACCGACGGCGATACCCACAACGGCGATGCTCACAACTGCATATGGTTGGACCCTTCACCAGGATGATTGTTGGGCTGATTATGAGAAAGCCCCTTCGGGGATGGACAGACCTCCCTTTAGTAAAACGTGGTTTAGTGAAAACGACCTGAGACCCAAACCTGGCGGGCGCAAGCCTGGAAAATAACGGCCGCGGCGAACTCTCGAGAACCGAAAACGGACAATTCACTAATCGACGTGTCACTGTTGGGGGTTCTGTCCACCCCCGAATTATGGTAAAGCCCCTCTCCTTCTCTCTTCCCCCCCCCCCTCGCTCGCCGCCGAGAGATGGCCCTCCGCCCCCCGTCGGGGCGCACGCCCCGCCGGCCTGCTGCGCAGCGGGCAACCGGGCGGGGCAGCCGCGCGCACATGTTGCAACCAGGGGGGGGGGGGCTTACAGCAGCCATGCTGCGCTACGAGAAGCCCAAGGAAGCCCCCCATGAAGCCTCCCGAAGGCATCCAGGACATCCAGGACACTCCCAGAGGCCCAAAGAGTGCCCCAAGAGACTCTCGAGAGGCCTCCTCCTCCTCCTCCTCCTCCTCCTCCGCCTCCTACTCCTCCTCCTTCCCCTCCTCCTCCTCCTCCTGGAGCGGAGAAGGAGGAGGAGGACGAGGAGGACGAGGACGAGGAGGAGAAGCATGAGTAGGAACACGAGGGGGAGGCGAAGGAGGACCAGAAGGAGGAGGAGGAGGAGGAGGAGGAGGAGGAGGAGGAAGAGAGGAGGAGGAGAAGGCGGAGAAGGACGACGAGGAGGACGACAACATGGGGGAGGCGAAGGAGAACCAATAGGACGAGGAGGAGGAGGAGGAGGAGGAGGAGGAGGAGGGGGAGGAGGAGGGGGAGGAGGAGGAGGAGGAGGAGGAGGAGGAGGAGGCATCCAAGCTTTGGCTGGGAGGGTTAGGGTCTGTCGAAGGTGGCACCGATAGACAAGCACCCACAGCCGTCAGGCTGTTGGGAAGGAGGACGGGCTGGCACGGGGCGGGAGCGGGACTTGCCCCGACCCTTCCCCCCTCCCCTGGAATTGAGGAGACCCCTCGGCCCCACTTGGACCAACCAAACCCAGCCTCACGGGTGGTCAAAGGGAGGGGGGAGGGGTCGAGCACCTGTGCGACGCGGCCCCCCAGAGGTGCTCGAGGGGGGGGGTCCGGCACCTGCGCGAGACGGGATCGGCTCTGTGCGCCGCTACTTGAAATGTGGCCCACTTGCCCCACTTGCCCCACTTGCTCCACTTGCCCTCCCGCCCGCGCAGGCTCGAAGGGAAACGTCTTGGAATTGATGGGGCCACTTAGCCCCACTTGCCCCATTTGGGCAAGTGGGGCAAGTGGGACCAAGTGGCGCAAGTGGGGCAAGTGGGGCAAGTGGGACAAGTGGGACAAGTGGACCACATTTCAAATAGCGCAACGGAGCTGCATGTCCAATCGGATCTCTGAGGTTTTCAACCTGGGCGTTGTTCCTCCATCTCGGCCCTCTGGAAGCCTCGTCCGGGCCGCGGGGCCA